GTAAAAGTACTTTTACTTCGGTAGTTTTCTCATCGGTGAAATTTATTTTTACCAGTCATTTTCTGTTCATGTAATTTTACTTTTAATTAGTTATTTTTTCAAGTACTTTATAGACCTCTGATTAATTCATTCTGTGGAAGACGGACCGGAAACAACAGTTGAATCTGCATTGCTGTTGTAGTTTTGAATTTATATTTCAAAATAAAATCCACACATTTTGTGTTCATGCTGCCATCTGCTTCCAAACAGAATGATACATTTTTGACAGCATGTAAATATACATGTATACATGTAAATATGCCCATATATTGATCAATATAGATAGGATTTTGACAAAGTTTAGTCATTTTTTGGTGAATTATTTTGAAAATACAGATGCTYGTTCCTTTCCCGGTTGGTGTGGTGTAATCTTTGTAGACTGATTACACACTTGCTCTGCTGTTACGCAAAAATAGGATGAAATGTAAGTTTGGTGTCTCGCTGAGTGCACGCTGCTGCCCTGCAGTGTAAATGCTCTCATTAATTATTAAACTGTTGGTGCATTTCTACTGCAGAGGTCGGAGCAGAGCAGACGCAGTGTAAATTGTGGGTTACTGTGTATACAATAAATTGTTTAATATATGACCTTCAAAATGTTGCTGTTGTCTGACAGTAAACTGGACTGAAACAAACAAACATTAAAAACCTTTTAAAGTGAAACATGGACAGGTTGAGTTCCTGAGTCTGAGCAGAGAAGATGAACAGAGACTGGTCTAATTATCCTGCTGGCTAAACRTGCTGTGTCGGTTAAATGAAGTTTGCAACAGGCGCAACCTCTGGCTGCTTAAAGCAGCTACTTCCTGACACTCCCAATCAGCTTGATTGATTGGATCCCGAGCCCCTCCCTAACCCTGATTGGCAGCTTAATGACGACGAGGGARAGAAAAGCTAAAAAGCGAAGTCATTTCAAAATAAAGTTCCTCTAAATRTGGGATTGTGAGTCTCTGGTTGATCTGCAACAAAGTCAGATTAAAAAATGCAAACCTTCATTACGACCCACGTGTTTATTGGTCTTTACACATCCAGAGATGTGATGTAACAGGAAGTTGACTGACTTTAGCGGTTTGGTAGCATTTTAATGATCCACTAACTCTCTGTCTTACTGCTGTTAGCCCCACAGTCTCTCACACAAACCTGCTTAGCCAAGGACACCAGCTAAGAGGAATTTAATCAATGTGATGGATAACATTTGTCTTCCCAGCTCTCGAGGCAGTTCCTGTGTTAACCATTCAAGACGACAGTACTTTTCCTTCCAAACGTTCTAGGTTTCTGTCTGCTGGCAACTGATAAAGCAAAGTGGTCCCTGAAGGCAGCGGAGGAAGCGCAGTCCCGGCCACGACCGGGGGGCACAGCGGCAAAAACACAAAACAAATGCACTGAGACGTTTCAAAGGCTCGGACTTCAATAGAACYGGTCAAATGAGGCTGCAGAGGCACTTCTTAGAGACTATAAATAATAACCAGTTTGAGAGCGTAACCTGTTTGTTTTTTTTAGCTTTGTTTACATGACTAAAAGCAGCCGACGTGTTCTGATCAATGAGAGGCTGAACTTTCATGATTTGTCCAGGAATAAATTATTTTCTACAAACTTTTTGAACTAAAATCAGATTATAAATCTTGTTTTGTTTGTTTTATGGAAGAGATCTGCAAGAGGCAGAGCCAAATGGAGAGGTCTGTGAAGAAAACTAAAACAAATTTAAATGTCTATTCTCTGGACCTTTAGTTTCTTTGATTTATCGAGTCTTTACTTGGTCAGAAGCTTTTCTTCTGAAACAGGAAGAGAAGAAAATAGTTTCTCAATAATGGGAGTAGTAGACCTTAAGCTCCTTCACAATAAAAGCTGAAGTGTCCTCAAACCCAAGGAGATGTTACAAATTTGGTTTTATCATGTGACACAAAGTCCTGTTTTACATGCAAGTCATGCTGATTCATCATATCCCATAATGCTTTGGTGGCAGACGGTGTTCTGCACAACCATTAAAGCTATACTTTGTAAAGGTTCAAGCTGGGAAGCTGCAGGAGACATATTGCTTTTGTTGCGATTATTGTTATTCCTATTTATTATTCTCCACATGAAACCTCATACCAAATACCTCATCTACCTCAGGAGCTGAAGCTGAATGTAGTGTCCCCATACAGGAAATACTGAAGTTTATATTATTCATCCTTTTTCTCAAATTTAATGAGCTTTTTAAAAAAAAAAAACTAAACTGGTCTAATTAAAAACTACATTTTTTCCATTATGCAGTCATATGACATACCATATTATTTAAATCTTTTTTGTGTTGGCCAGTAGGAGTTATTAAATGTGGCTTTGATTAACAAATGAGAAGTGGAAAATTCAGTTCACTTTATGGATTCACTTTAATCTGAGTCATTCACCCAAGTGATCCTGTTCACTTGAGTCTGTTAAGTCGGTTTAGTCTGTTGAGTCACTTGAGTCAGGTAATTCACTTGAGTCAGTGGAGTCAGTTAAGTCATTTGAGTCACTTAAGTCATTTGAGTCGGTTGAGTCAGTTAAATCACTTGAGTCAGTTAAGTCACTTGAGTCAGCGGAGTCAGTTAAGTCACTTGAGTCAGTTAAGGCACTTGAGTCAGTGGAGTCAGTTAAGTCAGTGGAGTCAGTTAAGTCAGTGGAGTCAGTTAAGTCAGTGGAGTCAGTTAAGTCACTTGAGTCAGTTAAGTCACTTGAGTCAGTGGAGTCAGTTGAGTCGGTTAAGTCACTTGAGTCAGCTGAGTCAGTTAAGTCACTTGAGTCAGTTATGGCACTTGAGTCAGTGGAGTCAGTTAAGTCAGTGGAGTCAGTTAAGTCAGTGGAGTCAGTTAAGTCACTTGAGTCAGTTAAGTCACTTGAGTCAGCTGAGTTATTTAAGTCACTTGAGTCAGTTAAGGCACTTGAGTCAGTGGAGTCAGTTAAGGCACTTGAGTCAGTGGAGTCAGTTAAGTCACTTGAGTCAGTTAAGTCACTTGAGTCAGTTAAGTCATTTGAGTCAGTTAAGTCACTTGAGTCAGTGGAGTCAGTTAAGTCATTTGAGTCAGTTAAGTCAGTTAAGTCACTTGAGTCAGTTAAGTCACTTGAGTCAGTGGAGTCAGTTAACTAATTTGAGTCAGTTAAGTCACTTGAATTATTGGAGTCAGTTAACTCATTTGAGTCAGTTAAGTCACTTGAATTAGTGGAGTCAGTTAACTCATTTGAGTCAGTTAAGTCACTTGAATTAGTGGAGTCAGTTAACTCATTTGAGTCAGTTGAGTCAATTGAGTCACTGGAGTCAGTGAAGTCACTTGATATTGGCTCGATAAAATTCCTCACTCTCTCAGTAAATTGAGACCTGAGACTCATCAGTCCTGATTCAGATCGTTTACGTGGGTGAGTCAGTAACTGACCAGCTCTAAGTTAAATAAAGTTACTAGCCATAACTCCATCATTTTTACAAACATCAAGCTAACATTAGGTCTGGTAGAGTTGTCATGATCACATACTTAGACTGCCTACTAAATCCATGAGATAATTATTTAAAACTTTGGCCTGCAAGTTAGCATGCTTTTAATTTTGAAAAGTTTGTTTCGTCCACATGAAGCAAATATAACCTTCATGTTTTAACAGTAGTTCTTGTGAAACAACTAAACAAGAACAGAAGTAAAACTATGCAGACATACATAGTTCAGTCATAAATATTTATATTTATCATCCTGCTTGTTTTATTGTTCTTATTTTATGGAACAAAGTGTGACTGACAGCCAGATGGCAATGGTGCACCGATCCGTCCATCACATGGCAGAGTGAGATTCTCTGAGCCATATGTGCCAGACTCTCTTCTGTTTCCTGGAAGTGATAGCATTCTGCATGTTTTAGTTTTTAATTTGAATGACTAACAAGTCTAAGAACCAAACGGATGCTGGGAGAAAAATGTCTGAATATTCAGTGAAACTGTTAATGCATCTTATTATGGAAATCAGGTAACGAGCCAGGAGACGACACATTCAGAAACACCTGTTTCCTGTTGATGTTGTGCCACATATTCATTGTCATTTCAATCTGCAAAAAAAATAAAATAAAATAAAAACACAGACTGGAGGGACGTGTCAGAATATTCAACGAATAATAAGAAGAATAAAGGAAGTGCATAAATTAGCTCTGTGGGTAGAGTAAAGACTGATAAAGTAATTAACCATGTTGGAACGTCTCTTGGATTCTTCTTTCTCTCTGTCACAGAAATGAAGGTCTGGCCCATGAAACATTCAAAAACCTGTTTTTCCCTTTGGGACTCTAATTCATCAGCTATATTTAGCCTTTCGTAGCACTTTTCCTGGAATAAATCCAGACCGTTCTCGATTCTGGTGTTCTTGTACAAAAGCAGGAATTTTAGATCTTACAATTTTTCAGTTGTCGAGTTCGTCACGAGGTGAGTCTGAGGGACGGTCTTCATCTGTGGATGAAAATAACTGGTGTTTTATGGCTAAAAATAGCTCAGGAGCTGAAGTCTGATCAGTGGTGCCCAAAGTGAGAGAAGACTACAGAGGCTGAGGCTCTACAGATACTGTATCATTGGACAGTTTTATTGTTACTTTAAGGCAATAAAACTAATTAACATTGTTAACACTGGGAGCTGAAGCTCAACAGTTCTGTCCGGTAATCTCACGCAGCCTAACTTCCTGTAGCATCTCTCCTTGCTGCTGCTGAGACGAGTGAATATTGATGATTTTTTGAGCGTGTCTTCAGTGACGTGTATTACCGGGGTTTGGGGCGGGTGTGACGGCGTATCTTCAAAGGGCTGTGAAAGCTTTGAAGGGTCCGGTCTTTGCTTTCTGTGGATTACCGGGGCCAAGGCCTTTACTTGGTCCAGGAAAGAAAACATCCTTTGTTGGACGARAAATCAGGTTCTGAAGGATAAATTCAGCTCAGTGAAGGATTCAGAGCCGAGGGACCAGAAGCATTCAACTCTGTGGAGTTTCACCGGATGGATTTGATGTTGTGGCCTCGATCCTGGAATCATAGAAAGATGAAAAAGAAAGGAAACTACTTATACTGAAGGGGTAGCATTCCTTGAAATAATTCATACTACCTGCTGTCTGAGTTTGAGATGATCTGCTGACGAGGATGAGGATGTGATGAAGGTGTAACACTCATTAAGTGACTCAGCTCCTCCCATCACAATCTGTGCTTCCTGTTAGATTTTAGGTTTAAGATGGAAGCTTTTTGGGGATTATTTGTGTTCTTTGTRTCAACTTTTAGGTTCATTTCTGCCACATTTGATTGGAGGATGAATAATTATTTACAGTTTTATTCATTTTGTGACACTGAGATCAGTTTTTCTTCTGTATGGTTTGTGGCACATCTCTCGTTCAGCTCCTTCAGGACATTCCTGACATGATTTTATGATTTTTTTCAGCAATGTATTTGAGGTGTAAAAACCAAGTGTTCTCGGCTCTGCAAACTGTGTTGTTGTTCCTGAAGAGAAAACCTCTGAAAAAGGCTGGTTGAACAGCAAGAATCTTTATTTTACAGTCCAGGAGATTACAGCCAAAAACCAAATTGTGGCCTTCTAAGCCAAATGAATCACCAGGTAAAAAGATGAAGACGAAGGCGAAGAGTAGGGGCGTACAAACGTTTTTATAGGTTTCACAGTGCAGTCCAACAGATGCACCATAAATTTTGTCACGGTATACCTTAAGCGTTCCTTTCCTAATATGGTAACGTGCCGAGTTCTGAAGCTGGAGTCAAAGAGACACATAGTACATCTGTGCATTCCTGAGAAGAGGCCCCCACTTTTAGACACGACATATTCTTTTATTATTTAGCTTTTTTAGCCACTTKTTWTCTCATTGAAAATGAATAAATCTGTCTTTAGCATCAGGTTCTGATTTTTAACTGCTTTGTATTAATTTCAGCTTCTAGCAGCTTTTGTTCAATAGATTTTTGTTATTTTTCAGCCTTTTTTGCTATTCTTTTGACATTTTAAACTTTTTATGCTGCTTTCAGCTGCATTTTGCTATTTTCAACTGTTTTCTGTGGTTTTAGCTACTTTTTAGGTAGTTTCAGGTAAATTCACCTGCTTTATTAAGCAAACATACTATTTCTGTTTGTGCTAATTTCAGCTACCTGTTTTAGCTATCTTAGGCTAGTTACAGCTTTTTTAGCTTTTTCAAACAACAAATTGTAAGCACTTTTTTTCTCATTTGAAAATTTTCACACATTTTCCCGTTAATTTGTTTCATCTACTTTTAACTATTGTTAATTTCGGCTACTTTTCCATTATTTTCAGATTTTCTACTGATTTTTCTCTTGTTCTACTTTCAGCAGGAGACAGATGTTTAAATTYAATTCAAATTAACAGTTTTGATATTAAATCTTTTCAGTTTTTTCAGTAACTTCCAGCTAAAATTTTTCAGTGTTTGGTGTTAACATCAACTTTTTGCAAGAAGTGTAGTTTTTCTAGTATTCTTTTTGAAATTCATTTTTTTCTTTTTGAAAAATCAAAAACTACATTTGATGAGATTTGAAGCAACTCTCATGTTTAAATACTTGTAAAGATTTCTAACTAAAATTTATTGCAATATAAAATATATGATCTGTTGTTTCAGTTTGTCTGCAACGTTCACAACATCCTGTATTATGATTGAAATGATTTTAATCGTGTTATTTTGTGTTTGGTTCTTTTTCCTGCCCCGCCCACTCTCACCTGAGCCTGGTTGTTCCTCACAGATGTCGGTCATGTTGGTTCTTAAAGTTTGTTTTTAAAGTGTGTGTGTGTGTGTGTGTGTGTGTGTGTGTGTGTGTGTGTGT